ACCAAAGGCACTGCTAAATAACATGGAAGTAGAGATGGGCTCATCAAAAAACGGGGAGGAGGCGGGTTACAATACCCGCCATATAGACATCTAAAAGTTGCGATGGAGGAAACTGCAGGGATGGAAGCAAGCAAACTCCATCACCTGGAAATTTGTTTTTGTTTTTACTTGTTTCTGTGTCAAGACTCAGTCTATTGTTGTTTCTTTAATTTATTTTTGCTTACAATAAGGGTACTGGTTTGGTGGGTAGGTGTCTTGTGATCAGGTTTTTTATGGATGGAGGCAATCAGGCTGACTCAACCGTTAATAGCCTCTTTGCTCTCACCGTTTCAGCGATTAGTCCCGCTCTATTTAGGGTGGACTATTCTATGTCTGGACATGACGTGAGGGAGCCGATGGGCTTTTGGGTTATTTGGTCAAGTGGGAAAGTTAAGGATTGGGACTTGAATATTGTACTCGTTTATTTGATTCTAATATAATTTATTTCCTCGCAAAAAATAATAATAACAAAACAATTAAGAGGCCGCCCAAAAAACTGAAATTAAACCACGTTACTCTTCCCGGAAGAGTCTTCCGTCTCTTTGACCGCAAAGCAGGATTAACACAAAATCGCAAATACTTCTCCACTTCTTCTTTCTCGATTCTGGTTTCTGCCGGTGTCTGGGTGCTGCACTGCCGCCTGACCGCCTCATTCCAGATTTCTAGTCATTCCTCTGAGGCAACCAAGCCAGTCGGCGGCAACCAAGCCAAATAGCCATTAGCTAATCGCAGTTTCAGTTTGAGACTTTGTCAGTTTGAGGTTTGTACGAAACTACAAATTTACATCTTAGTTTTTAGTTGATTTTAGTTGATTAGCCATATTGATTTATTTGATTATAGTTACTATTCATTAACTTATTATATTATACTATCATATTAGTGAATAGTTGATAGTTAATTACTTATGAATTTTAGTTGATTAGCCATGTTGATTTATTAACTTATTATATTATACTATCATATTAGTTAATAGTTAATAGTTAATTAGTTATGAATTTAATAATTTATGATTTATGAATAAGATATGGGATTTTTTATTGTTAATTTCAGGATATAATTTACAATTTCAGGTTTCAAAATTTCAATTTGATATTTAATTGCATATTTTTCCCTTTTTCAGGTTGGTTGGTTGGTTGGGCGATTTCAACTATCAATCTCTCATTTAGGTTTATACCCGGATCATTCATACTTAGAAACTACCAAACTTTGCTTGAATCCAGGTGATATTGTCCTCACTTGAAACATCTACTTTTTTTTTGAAACATCTACTTATTCTTAATGTCTTCAAGAATTAGAAAGTAGGAATCGGGGTGTGAGAAACGAAAGGAAAAAAAGAGATTGGATGCAGTAACTGAGTCTCAAAGAGGACTTTATGACTTTGTTAATATATGTGATTTTGTTTTTAATTATATGTGGGGCCTCAGATTTGCAACTGGAATTGGGGCCTCTAAATTCATTAGACGGCTATGTTGTAGACCTATTGGAAAGGACATGCATCTCTAAATAATTTCAATTAGAGGACTTCGTTTGCGTATATGTCATGACAGTCATTATATTGCACACGAGAAAGGTCTATCTTGCTATTACTTTATTTCAAAATACTACAAGAATAGTGAATGGTTAAAAGCATAAAGTGAAGTGGTATATCCTTTAGGAGAGTATTATGTTGATGATATTCCAATGGAGCACCACAACGGGGTTGTAAACCCACTAGTCTCAGATAAACGAACAGCTGGAAGACCGAAAAACAAAAGAATTTCTTCAAAGGGTGAGTTTGTGTCACGACAAACTTGTGGGAGATGCAAGCAACATGCAACAAAAAAACATGCCAAAACCAAATACCACGACTTGCTAGATAGATAACAAATAAAAGAATTTGCAAATGTGTTTGGTATTTGAAGAACAATTGTAGTGAACTACTTTACTTAATAATACTAGTGTTATAGGGATATTATGTCATTATTACAAGGATGTTGACTCAAACAATAATAATGCCTGAGATAGACAAATGTAATTTTCTAGCAGTTACCAAAGTGCAGTAGTGTATTAAGTGATACATGATTGATATTACTTCTTTTATTTTGAATATATACTAATAATATATGTTGTGTGTGTGGTGTGTAAGATTGACGCATCAATATAATTGAATAAATGTGCTTTCGTTGATCACAAAAGTGTTACTCTTCTTAAAATGACCAAATTTTACTATTATAACTACCAAGTATCGTATCCTTTTATAAAATCTTGCACTTTCACTACAAGAATAATCATTATTTGCGTCCATTCTTTTTGGGTCGACATAAGTGCATTTTTAGCTAATAGGCACTTGTGAATGCAGGTTGAGTTTGGTATATGCTAATAGGCATAAATGGCAAGGTATGTAGTTAAATTGCTTCAATTTCTTTGTGCTTTGTCATGCTGAATTCTCTCTTAGCTTGGTGATACAAGGTTTTAATTTTTGGCTTTGTATTTGGTGTATTTGCAATTTGAAAGGAGGATATATAGCTAGAGACTGGTTGGAAATCCTTTCCTTGCGTAGAGACACTCATGAAGACACAAAAGCTTAATTATTATTGAAGAAACAAAATCCTTAACATTATAGGGCCGACTGCATATTACTCCATAATTAATATTTTAATAAAACTCAATTCAAACGTCTGGGTGTATATATAGGTGTATGCAACCATTTCAATTCGTTGCCTGGCCTATAGCCGCGGGTGATGAGGAGTTTATTGGATGCCTAAAATTTGCAAGGCATCGTGAAAAAGCTGAAGAACTAATTGAAATACGTAATAGTTTGCATTAAAACAGTTGTATTGAACAAGAGTTTACAATAGATCCATTTGTACAAATTTGCTCATATCCTTACATAAATTTGTATAATTAAGAAAATTCAATGAGTGTCTGAGTTTATATATATGCTTTTATTTACCGTATGCATGTGTAAGATATTGTTATGAGTTATTCAACGAAAAAATATACGGAGTAAATTAATTATTGGAATTTAAGGTCTTTTCACGTTTAAAAAAAGTCGAAATATTATACAATATTTGCGGTAGAGAGGGGGACTATGCAGCCGCCTCTCTCTCTAGGGTTGCCGCCTCACGCAACGCCTAGCTTGTTTTGTCCGGCGGTGTTCGCTTAGGAGAGTACGGCGCCGAGAAGGTTGTTGCTATTGGAACAAGGAGGGGATCACAAGGAGGATTTTGGCAAGGTTCTGGCAAAAGGTTAAAGCAACAGGTTTGTATGGACAGTTTCGTGGAAAAATACAAGAAGATGACGATCGGGACAAAGGGAGAAGAACTGGATCTAGTTGAAGCTGATGTTGAGGGTGTGGCGGATGAGCGGCAGGCGCGTCCCCCTCCTGAGCCACCGCCATGGAGTGCAAGCAAATCTAGGGTTTGGAAGAAGATGGGTGAACTCTATTTTAATTGCGTTTTATTCAGTTTGTGTTTTTCTGTCGAATTGCATGTTGCTTTGGACGTGTTATTTTTTCCTAGCAGAGAAATTCTTAAATTTAGGTTAGGTGATGAGAAGTCTGGTTTGTTAGTCATTGGCTCAGTTATGCCCATTACAGGATCAACGAATGTTATTGCTTCTACAGAGGTGATAGATTCTCAGTCTAGTTCGAGGGCGGACGGCAGACATAAGGCTTTTTATCGTTTTGTTTACTCTTTTTTCCTTGATTGTATTATCAGCCATGTGACGAACGTTATTTTGATTTAATATATTAGTAGGATTTGATGACCCAAAAAAAGGTATTTTCACGTTTCGTACTACTTTTTGTTTGGGGCATTCACTTTGTGCATACTTCACCCAAATGGAAATGCTTACAATTGAAACCACTTTATTGGAATCTAAATGTGAAATAAATGTCTCTTATTTCTTTTAAGAATGTAACATAGTTTAGAGATAAAAACTGAATCGAGAAAAACCAAGATGCATATTTAACTAAATTACAAAATCTTAAAGGCTAAAACAGCAACACCATGGTTGATAATGTATTTTCGCGTTTTTTACAAAAATCTATGTGAAAATATTATACACCGGGCAGCTAATAAGTGAATGGTGAGATTGTTCAAAAAACGAAAGCAACGACTTTAAATAATTTGGCCACATTACCGATGATATTTAGTGTCTCAATGACATGCCTGCAGTAAATATCCTCACTTTTTACCAAAAGCAAGTCCCCTGTAAAAGTATTCTTCGTATCATTTGCTTTCATGCTAATATCCTTGAATCCGAATGATATACATAGGAATAATAGCTGCAATTTATTTTTCCTTTTCGCATTAGAGTTTAATGCTCAATGCATTTCTTTAACAATTTTTTCCCTAATTTCATTTTCACATATGTCACCCATTTCTAGGAAAACGAAGTAGGTGAAAATCAAAAGTTTTAAATTAATCAAGATACAAGAGGCAATATTTTGAAATTAATTTACATTTTAGTTATTAGAGTAACTTTAATTTTAAATAGTTTGGAATATAGATATAGAATTAATATCTCGTGCATTGCACGGGTACAAAACTAGTAGGACAATGATAGCAACATAGTCAAATATATAAACCATGTAAACTTAGTAGAATCAAATTCGTGAATCAAAACCCTAGAATTACGAAAATTTTCCCGAAAATCGAACTCAAAATTAAATGAAATTATAATTAAATATATTTTCATGTGTATTATGAATAAAAAATGTATACCGACCGCAATAACCAATGATTACTAACTTGACGAAAGAAGGATCACATGAGCTGAGGATTGAGGAGAAAATGAAGAAAAATTAAATTGAATGGGATTTGAGAGAGAAGTTAAGAGAGATGAGCGTGTTCAGAGTGGAAAAGACAACATAATGTGTAACCGATGGAATACAGGATAGGGGAAACGGCTACGAGGGGTATGTTCATAACTTTGAAAGGCCGAGCTAAGTTTTACGGAAAAAATAGAAAGAGTTCTACTTCTGTCCAAATAAAAGCCATAGGTAATATAGATGACATTATTTATTTATTTATTTACTACTAATAACATTTAGTTTGACAGCTTTGATGGGAACTTAGTGGTTCAATTACCCATCAATATAATAATAACAAAAATGCAAAACTAAGAGTCTAAAGTTCAGTATAGATACATAGGAGTAAAAATCCATGAGTTGACACATCTACCCTTAATGAAATTCATAATTGATTTCTAAAAAATAAAATAATAATATGATGCAAGTTGTACGCAACTGCTCTGCTCCCACACAACCAACACCACAAGTGAGACAACACGTCACCCGCCACCACATGGGCCAGTCGCCATCGCTAGTCTGTGCCGCAGCCACGAGTCCGTGTCACTGCAACCGCCGGTCCATGCCGCCGCAACCGCCAGTTTGTACTGCTGCCATCTTTATCACCGTCGCCGGTGGTGCCGCTGTACGGTGCCTACGCTGTCAGCCACCGTTGATGTCATTATCTCCATTGTTGCCACCACCGTTGCTTCCTTTTCCACAGCCACCTATTTCGGAGTCACCCTTGGCTCTTCCAGCACCACCACGATCTTGACTCCTCCTCTATCAATCTGAAATTTGGAAAAGATGTTTTAAAATGTCATTTTAATGGCCTTTTTTATATTAAAATAAAGAATATGAATCTTATCACCATCTTCAGATTTTGATGACATTATAAATATTATATTTGCAAGGGGAATAGTATTGCCATCACAACAGATTTAGTGTCATTATATGAAAAACATGGCATTATTAGCCATCTTCTTGATGGAATTAGTGTCATTTTTTTAATATACGAAATTAGTGTCAAATAATAATTTCACATGGCATTATTAGCCATCTTGATGGAATTAGTGTCAAATAAAAATGGAACTATGTGCCAAATAATAATTTCACATGGGAAAACATGGCATTATTAGTATTGTGTTTGCAAATGAGTAATATTTACATCCGAATACCATAAAATTACTTTAAAATACGGATTATGGCATTTTCAGATTTAAAATAAAAATCAATACAAAAGATTACAAAAACAATAACCGAAATCAATGTTAAAAAAAGCCAAAAGAACAAAAGCAGAAAGAAAAGTCAAAAGAGAAAAAAGAGAAAGCAAAAAACTCCGATGCAAACAGATCTGGAAAGACAGAGGAGACTTGAAGCAAAAAAAAAAAAATTAAAACCTCGTAAATAACGTATTAAATCTCTACAGGATGAGGAATAAGTTGAAGGAGTAAAGCCAGTGAATTAACTGAATATATGGTATATGTTCAAATTTCAAAAAATGGTTTTAGTGCTTAATTAATCTAGGAAGAATAAGAAAGGAGAAAAATGATGAATACGAAGAGGAGAAGAAGAGGAAAGAAAAACATCAAGTCTTATCAAGATTATCACCGCCGCCCATCACCGGTCGCCGGAGATGGGAGAAGATTCGGTGATTTCGGTCCAAACATTTATAAACAAAAGGAGATGAATTGCTAAATGAGAAAGGAAAGAAATGAGAAGGAAAGTGAGGATGGAGGGGGAGAGGGTGTGCATCTACACATATGGGAGAAGGAAAGAGAGGATGGAGTAAGAGAGAGGGTGTGTGTCTGCTGAGAGGAGGAAATGTTAAATGAGCTGAGAAATCAATTTACGTAATACGGAGTAGTCATAAAGAACTAAAGACTAAAGAGGGGCAAATCAGAAAAAAGAAAAAGACTACTCAACTAACAACTCATATTTAGCGAATAAATCTACAACAACTAATATTTTGGAACTTCTTAATGTTTTACTCCTATTTAAGATAATAATAACTTCAATGTAATTTAGAATTCAGATCCGTTTAAATACATTTTTTTCTACTCGATGAGTCTTTTGAGCATGTAATAACCATTTTTTTATTTGGATTTATTTCAATTAAAGACTAGATCCGACTAAAGTAGATTAGATCAAATCTGACCAAATTTTAGCAGTTATAAATTACACAAAGATAAACATTTATCAGATTAAATCGGATCAAACTAATTTAGATCAAATTAGATTAGATCTAACCAGATCAAAAAAAATTAGGCACACCCGTAAAAAAACATCCTTTTCTAGGGAAGGTTAAAATATTCTAACTACTGGTCTTACCAAAGCCAAAGAAACTAGTCTATACGACTGTCATTAGTATTTCTTTCAGTAGAAATTAATTAATCATTCATCTGAAATCTCAACAGCTTAAGAATCGAATTCCTGCGAAGTCAATCGCGTGAGTGCTTTATCTCTGTCACCATCTTTGTTCTTTGATTTTGTTTCTCCAAATACATGTTTTTCGAGCGTGTTATTATAGATCTAAAGCTCTAAACAAATGTACTCTGTCTGATGTCTGGATTTTCTTTGTTCGTTTATGATCTTAAAACGGTTTAGATTTAAAAATGTGCGTAGCTCTTCAATTCGTTGATTCCTTGATAAAAATAAGAAAATACCAGGTAGCTATGTCTTTTGTGATTACTCGAATGTTATTTAGCACATTGATACTCGAACTTTCTTGATTTTGCGGCTGTGGACCTTATTGACACAATCAGGACAAGTTTAGTTATGTTTTATTTTGTTAGGACCCGAATTTATCTTTTATATTTAACATATGCAGCTAGATTTCAATCATACCCAAGTTAATTACATCATATATAGTGCTCAGAAAGTTGCAGTTATAGTGTGAAGAACTTATTTAAGCTATGGTAAAGGACACCGAATACTATGATATCTTGGGGGTAAGCGTAGATGCCACACCTGCAGATGTTAAGAAAGCATACTATATCAAGGTAAATACTCATTTTTTGAATGAAAGTTCAAAGTTGTGTCTTTACAAAAATTGTTTCTTTCCATTTTAGGATTTCATTTTCCCTTGAATTGTGTAAGAAGATAACAAAACATTGTGAAACGTAATAGTCTCTGTGGCTCTGGATTTCTGGTGCAGCCCTTGGTTGCTAAATTGTTAAGAAACTTAATGCATAAGTAGCTTTTGACTTACTTATTTGTTTGGAAGGAGGTTGGAAAACCTTTTACTTTCAAGAAATTCAACCGATTCAGTCATTACCCTTTACAAAGCGGGCTCTAAGTAATTTATTATTGTTTCTTCCGCTAGGCAAGGGTAGTTCATCCAGATAAAAATCAGGGGGATCCACAAGCAGCTCATAAATTTCAGGTAATTTTGTCTATGTGAATTTAACTATTTATGTATCTCTTTAAGATATTTTTCTCAGTAGTAATTGCATCTTGTTAGCAAATTATTTGAAGTACATTGGATTCTTGACTTCTTGTAACTCTAAATGTTCTGAAATTTCATATTAACTGCACTTCGGCGTCATTTCCTCTTAAACTGATGAGCAATCAAACCAATGAGAAAACATGTCTTTGGTAATTCTGTGAGTAACTTAACATTTACTTTTACTGCTTCATCAATATTTTAGGTGCTTGGAGAGGCTTATCAGATCCTGAGTGATCCACATAAACGTGAAACCTATGACAAATTCGGGAAAGATGGCGTACAGCAGTAAGTATTATAGGAATTTACTAGGATCACTATTGTTATAGTTAAATCTTTTGAGGAGAACGTTTTCTAATATTCAAGAAAATATATATAGTTCATCGAGAAAATAATTTCCTTATATTATACGTTTAAGCCCTTATTTTACCGGAACTATTTTCTACAAAAACTCCACTGCAAGTAATTTTCCATGAAACAAACAGAGCCTAAGGCGGGACTGATTTGTTTTGTTTTTACTTTGGATTTTTAGGGACACAATGGTGGACCCTGCAGCAGTTTTTGGAATGCTATTTGGGAGTGATTTCTTTGAAGATTATGTAGGGCAGTTTTTATTGGCTTCTTTGTCAGTTGTTGAAGCTGAGGAGGAATCTACTCTGCCTGAGCTCCGCAATAAGAATATTCAGGAAAAATTGAAGGTATGACCTACAACTTTAACCATGGATGGTTAGGTTAATCATTCTGTTTAGTAATTCAAACTCTCATTGCACTTGTGGTACAGGCTTTACAGAAGGAAAGAGAAGTGAAGCTTGTAACGAATTTGAAAAATCATCTCCATCCATATGTTGAAGGTCATGCTGATGAGTTTTTAAGCTGGGCAAAATCTGAAGCAACCCGTCTCTCTCAAGCTGGTATTACTACACCTATGTTCTTTTTTAGTACATAACTTACAAGAGTTTTTGGCAAATCCATTTTTGTGCAGAAGAGTTTTAAATAAAAGATATTAAGGTGTTTTTATCCTTTTCTATTTTTTATACAATGGGAAGTAGAACCGTAGAACAGTCAAACTACATCATTGAAGTTGTAAGTAAAACAATTGAGTAGACTTCAAAGAACCAAAGAGAATTATTTTGATGAAAGGACCAGAAACAAGAAACTAGTTTCCCATTAAGAAGAATGATAATTGATTGAAAGTTGAATGTTTATGCCAATGATACAAGAGCATTACAAAGGAAGCATTACAGGGTTGTTGATTTATTATAGCATGTGTAATGTGTTTTTTTAATATTCCTTGAGTGTGTTAAAGGGTGATGCAATCTTGGTGGAGCCTATGCATATGTACAAGCATATGTGCTTAGTTGTGTTTTCGAAGAGTCTCTTTGAGAAAAGTCAATATCTATTAGTCTATTTATTGCTCTTATCTCAAGATACAAGTTAGAGTAAAGTCAAATCTCTCTCTCTCTGTCATCTTTTTATCTTCTTTATCTTTCTATGTTCTTATGTTACTTTATCTTTTGTGTTTCTTATGTTCTTTTATCTTTTTATCCTTTATCTTTCTTATGCTCTTATGTTATTTTTATCTTATATTTATCTTTATCTTATCCATTTGAGATCATTTTTTGGTATCATGCCTGTCCCAAGCCAGGATAAAGGAGGAGGGTGCTGTGGTAGACGCGTGACGGCCAACAGTATCACTTAGTCACATCACATGACATGATCATAGATCGATTCATGTTAGCCAACCCCAAATTCTTTTGGGATTAAGGCTTGGATGTTGTTGTTGTTGTATCCATTTGATCTTACCTTATCTTTTTATTTTTCTTATCTTTCTTATCTTTTTGGCTCTGATATCATGGATTGATTCATGTTAGCCGACCCCAAAATCTTTTAGGAATAAGGCTTGGATGTTGTTGTTGTAAGGCGATTGAATTGAGAGTTTATGTAAGAAACTTGGAGCATAATATTCTCCAACCTGGGGGTGATTATTAAAATGTGTGATGTCCTTCTGATCTGCCCTTAATAGCATATGCATATATTTGAGTGATGTAGTTGTGTCTTTATATTTGCAGTTTTAAAAACGGTCTCTATTACTTAGTACTTAGTAGTATACATTTATTTACTACTACGTATATTTTAGTTTTCTCTTATTTTAGCTTCATCCTCTCCAGTTGTTGATAAATTTAGGCTATTAATAACCACTTGTTGGATCTTCAAGTCCTAAAGCCTTCACTCTTCATACCCTCTGTTTACACAAAGTTTTTTAGGAAGTGCTAGAGTTTTTTACTACTCATATAATTCCTAATTTTCAAGGAAATTCTATTTCCTTATTGCAGTCAGATTGCCCTGAATTAGTCACTGGTCCTTGTTTTGGTAGTTAAACAATTGTATGTAAAAATTTGCTGGAAACTTTCGAGTGTACGATCGTCGATCTCATCTACACCATTTACAAATAACAACCATGTTTAATGTTTCTACATTGTGAATTTATTCATAAAGTCATATTTCCCTCGCTATCAAATTAGGAATCTGAGAAAATATGATAAGATCTGCTCAGAATCACACATAAAGTTAAGCATTGCCTAATTTTTCTATATGTTAGACTCCCTTAATTAGTACTCCCTCAGTCCCAATTTGTAAGGCATGTTTCATATTCACTTGGTCAACACAAATCACTCTTAATCTCTTACTTTATATATCAATTTTTTAACAAATTTGATTTTGGTTTTTGCGACTTTGTAAATTTTTTAATGTAGTTTCTGAATATATAATTTTTTTTCTAAAAATAATTTGAGCGCGGACAGGGATCCGTTTGCTTTATCTTCGGTCAAAAACCGTAAACCGTAAAGTGTCTTACAAATTGGGACGGAGGGAGTACATTTTAGATTGGTCGCTGTTCTTACCATGCACGTGTTTTAACTATTGCGTTATACTACGTAGTTAGAAACCGTATCTTATGAAATGTAGGAGATGCTACATACTTACATGCATAGGTGGGACTTACAGTTTTCCTATTCTTCAGCTTTTGGTGAAGCTATGTTACATACTATTGGTTACATTTACACAAGGCAAGCTGCCAAAGAGATTGGAAAGGACATACGGTTCATGAAGGTGCCTTTTTTAGCAGAATGGGTACGCGATAAAGGACACCGCATCAAGTCACAAGTTGGTGCTGCTTCAGGTTGACAATGACTATGATTTGCAAAATGTTGTTCAAATCTCAAAGTCTGACTAACATATTTTTGTTGCCTACTAATTCTTTACAGGTGCCATCTCTTTGCTTCAAATACAAGAGGAAGTGAGGAGGTCAAGTGAGGGAGAGGTTAAAGAAGAAAGTGTAATCAAAGCTCTAGAGGAGAAGAAAGATGCCATGCTTAATTCCCTTTGGCAGATTAATGT